TTTCCTGACACATTTGTTAAAAGCCAGGCATGGTGGAGCACACCTTTAATCCCAGCACTTGGGAGGCAGAGGCAGGCAGATCTTAGTGAGTTCGAGGCCAGCCTGGTCTACATAGTTCCAGGAAAGCTGGAGCTACAAGGAGACCCTGTCTCAAGACAAAAAACAAAACTAAAAATGAACCTATGATATGACCCGGTTATACCACTCCTTGGAATATACCCAAAGGACTCATCCTATTATAGAAACACTGTACAACCATGTTTGTTGCTGCTCTTTTCACAATAGCTAAGAGATGGAAACAACCTAAGTGTCCCTCAACTGATGAGTGGTTAACACAAATGTATATTTACACAATGGAGTTCTATTCAGCAGTAAAGAAAGACGAAATAATGAAATTTTCAGGTAAATGGATGGATCTAGAAACTGTATACTAAGTGAAGTAGCACAGACTCAGAAAAACAAACATTGTATGTTTTCCCTTATATGTGGATCCTAGCGCCAAATCCTTTTAAATTCCAGGTCCTTTTAATAAGATGATGCTATACAGCAGTCCCTTCTGCATGAAATAACTACCATCATCACGACTTCAGCTGAGCCTGATTGCTAAACATCATCACAATTGGACTTGTTGACAGTTGTGCTTATTCATTAAAGGAGGGCCAAGCAGGGTCACTGGACCATTACTGGAGTATCCAGCCACTCTTCCCAGCCAACTGTATGTACTTTGACCTTAATCACACATGGCCTCCTGGATTTGAGGAGGGCTAAAGTATACAATCTGGGGAAGGCTAGGAAGAGAAGGCATGACCCATACTGGGTAAAGCTTTCCACTGTGCATACCCTCAGGTCATACATACACCTCAGCAACCCCTCAGTTATCTTGGTAAGTAAGCTCAATAAATTCATTGGTTCCCTGGTAAAACTTTAATCAAACATTGGCTCTACACCAGAGCCTTGAAAGGGAATAAGCATTGCTTAGCATCCTCAGGAAAAGAAGTCTACAAGATGGAAAATTTTTTTGTTAATGCTATTATGTCGCATATTTATTTAAAAACATTGCCTTGCATGGGACTAATCAGGGCCTTCAGGGGATAGAGCATCACCTGTATATTAGAAAGTGACCATCTTTGAGGTAACTTGGTCATTACGAAGAAAGTTAAGTAAGCTGAACAACCTATGATGAAATGTCAGGATGAGACAAAAATAATATATCCATAATCTTAAAATTTCTATGGTCATAGTTTAGTCAACTAGTTTAAGGAACAAAATATATATCTAGTCAGGGTTTATCTGAGGATATTTGGTTTTTTATCCAAGCCTTATCTACATAGCACATGATAATTAAAAGTACCAGACTGGTGGAACTAACCTTATTGGTTGTTTAACAGCCGTACTTTGAGGCCTATACCAATCTGGTCAGAGGGACTTAAAGGACAGTTTTTGCCCCTTGCCCTCCAAGGTCGACAGAGTTCCAGGGGACTATGGGACATCTCTCAAAAAGTCCTGTAACTGTGGTGAGTCACGTGTTCTCTTGTTCATGGAGGCCGTGGAGACCCCATGAGATGGACTTGAACCAGTGTCCAATCTACAAAGAGGAGGATCAACTCAGAGGAAACATCTCATTCATGCTTCCAAGTGAAGCCAGACATGGTCAAGCAGGACATTTGACGTATCTTCACATAAATGGAAC